ACAGGAGCCCCTGCTGGTGTGCAGAGCTGGGAGTCCCGGCTCTGAAGTCAAACACATGTTTCCAACCTGGCTGCACCTCTTGATAGCTGTGTGACTTTAAGCCAGTCACGTGACGTCTCTGAGGCTTGGCTTCCCCAGTTGTAGGACCGACTTAATCACCTTCACCTTGGCACGTAGGCAAGTGCGACGCTAGGCTGCAGAAGAGCCTCGGCATTGACTCTCCCTCCCCATTGCCTCCTTCCCTGCAGTCAGGACGCTTGGGAGCCTCCACTTTCCAATGCCGTCACCACGGTGGAGTTTTACCCCAGTCTGAGTGGTGACCCTTCCCTTCCACAGGTCGCTGTGCTGTGCATTCCATGGAGAATAAATGCAGCCCAAACCCTCCCACTATAAAGCCACAGAAATCAAGGACTAGAAGCAGGGACTTGCCTCTAAGTCACTCAGCAAGATTCACAACTTAGTACCTCGTGAGGTGACCTTCTAGGTAGCTCAAGGGCGAAGCCCTTGGGTTGCTCTCACCTACCACCAGGCTGCTGAAGCAACTTGGTTCCGCGCTCGCAGCGCAACTGCAGGTTTCCCTGGATGTACGGGGACGCAGCGCCCTCTGCTGGGATTTTGAGGCAACTGCTCGTTAGGCGCAGTTCTTAGCCCAGACCACTGGAATGGGAATCTTGGATAAGATCAGTCATTTTTAAAACTCTGCACGTTCAGAGGAGACTGGGGGTGCTGGCGTAAGGATTCATTATATAAATGAAGAAACTGGAGTCTAGAAAGGAGCGAGCAAGGGTGGAGAGTAAAATTTCCCTGGATCGAATCCCTCTGGTCTTCCATTTAAAAACTGTACAAAATTAACCTGGATCTAAGAATCCTGAAACACTTAGGCGTTGGGGGAGTACACAGGTGCCACAATTGTCTTGGTGACAGGTCATGTACTGGTAGGTGCAAATTCCAGCCACTGTGGGGTCAAGAGTGCCAATAGAGCCAGCTGTAATCCCAGCACTCTGGGAAGCTGAGGCAGGAGGGTTCCAAGTCTGAGCCCAGCCTGGGCAATTTAGTGATTTAGGGAGACCCTGTCTCAACATTTAAAACTTTTTTAAAAAAAAAATGTACCTCAGTTTAAAGGACCTGAGTTCAATCCCCAGTACCACACACACACACACACACAAATACACACACTCACACACACACACCAGAGAGGAAGCTCCTTGAATAGAAAGAGTAAATGATTTCCAGTTGGTCCCCAGAGTTTTGTCCGCTCCGTTCCCTCTGACACAAGGGGTCTTAAACGGCCTTACACCAGGGCCAGCTGCTAAAGTCAGCTCATTAAAATACAGACCGCTGGCCCCACCTTGGCTTGCTGTCTCAGTAGGCCCAGCAAATTCCCAGTCCAAGCCTAGGCTGCTCTGGGACCACACTTAAGAGAACCTTCTCTCTAAAACTGGCCAGAGCAACGCACCCTTTCAAGTCCGAGACGGGTTTGGCAACATGGGGATCCCCACAGCGACCCCTAAGTCCTCAGACGGCACCCACAGCAGGCACAGTGGTGCTGTGACGGCCCATAGGGTTTGAGCTTGCAAAACAGATCACGTCTCTGGTCCCCTGTGCTTCTGGACTGAAAATGTGCAGGGGGAAAGAATGGGGTCCCTGCAGGGAAGGGTTTGACCCTGAGGTGTCCCCGCTAGGCTCCACCCCAAAGGCTTCCTGCTCTTTGAAAGAGGGGCTCTTTTCGCTCTAAGAGGTGGTATGTACCTGGGCATGAGGGTGCACACTGTAATCCCTGAAATCTGGGAGGCTGAGGCGGGAAAATTGAAAGTTCCATTCCACCCTGGGCAACTTAGTGAATTAGAGAGACTTTGTCTCAAAATTTAAAATTTTAAAAATGGGCTGGGGATGTCGCTCCGCGCAAAGCCCCCTGGGAGCATTTCCCACTAACACAAAAAAGAAGAAGCAGAAATAAAAAGAATCGGTAGGTGAGCTGAATGGCTTACTAAAGAAGCAGGATTGGGGGTGCTGCTGCCCTCCATGAGGACCCCAGCACTGAAGCCATCGTTACTGAATACCTGGGGTCTCAAAACATTTTTGCTTAATAATGTTCTTACCAAGAACCTAAGTAGTTACAAAGGCTGCGTGACATCTTTGTAAACTATGCCAAATAACTAGCAGGAAATCTGAATCACAGAGTGATTTGATATTAATCATAGCCATGTTTAAGGTCCACAGGGAAAAAAACTCCTCATTGACAATGTTGAGTTTACCCTACCATTGCGTTCTGACAAAATAGCAATGCTTTTGTCTTCCAGAAAACAACAAAAATCCCCTCCCCCATCTAGCTGAGATAAGACTCTGTAATCCCAGCACTCTGAGAGGCTGAAGCAGGAGCATCACACAAATTTTAGGTCAGCCTGAGGTAGGATAGAAGAAACAAAAGAGAAAAATGCAGATGAGGAAATCACTTTGTACTTTTAAGAAGAATGCAACTTCTAGGACCCGGCCAATATCACCCCACGTGATCCAAATCAGTATTCCCTTGGTTAAATTTAGGCTGCTTTGGCCAGGCGTGGTGCACATGCCTGTAATCCCAGCACTCAGAAGGGTGAGGCAGGAGAATGACCTTGAGTTCAAGGCCAGCCTGGACTACATAGCTAGAACCTGTCTCAAAAAAAAAAAAAAAAAAAAAAAAAAATGGCCAGGGATCCTGGAAGACCTATAGGCACTGAGATTCCTCAGGAATATTGAAAGTCCATAAATTGGATTACTTGAGAAAATAAAGAGCAGGAACCTGACCCTAAGATTAAGGAGCAGAATACAAAAATGTTTAAATTTCATATTTAAAAAACCTGCAGATACCTGTAGAATGGGCTAGTACCATTTGGGGGCATCTTTTCCTGGGGTTCCCACCCCTTTAAGAGAAACATAAATGTTCCCTGTTCCAGGAAATAACGCATCTCATTTCTCGAGCACCTGCTCTCCATCCTTGTGTGTCCTAAAATCTCTGTTTAGTAAACTCTTCCCTTGCCTCCTACTGATGAGTCTGGAAAATTCTTTCCCCACGCTGGGAGTCATCCAACCTGAACTTGTTCTACAGACAATTGGGTCAAGTTCCTTACTTCAATTTCAGACTCGCCAGCCCGGCCCAGTGACACACCTGGGCAATTTAGTGACTTACTGAGACTCTGTCTGGAAATAAAAAATAAAAAAAGGGCTGAGAATGTCACTCAGTGCGGAGGCCCCGGGTTCAACCCTGTTTTCCCGCCCTCCAAATCCCTTTGGCCCTGGGTTCAACCCTTTTTGTCTAATCTTTGAGAGACTATAGATTTTACAGATTGTTCTTCCTATTGCATGGTCTTAGTATCCCTCATCCTACTCGCAAAATAAACCTTTCAAATAAAGAGTTTTTTACTATATCTACATTTTTAAAAATTTGACATTCCATAGAATTTGACATTCTATTCTTTATATTCGGCTTTTGTCACAGCATTTTGTACAAGTTTAATTCGTTATATAGAACACCCTCTTGTGCTTTTCTGTCCCAAGAATATGTAGATAAATTTGAACCTGCTAATTCGAAAAATTTTCTATGGCCATAAAGTTGTAAGTGTTCCTTCGTTTTCCTTCCAGACTAGGATAGCATTGCAGTGTCAGCACCACAATGTTTGATTAAAACATTGGTTTTAATCAAAACCAATCCGAAGCATTTCATTATATAAGAATCAGATCTCCGAAGCAACCTCCAACTCTCTTGTCACAAGAATGCCTCTGAGCGGGGCGTGGTGGTGCACGCTTGTAATCCCAGCACTCAGGAGGCTGAAGCAGGAGGATCGTTGTGAGTTTGAGACCAGCCTAGGGTACAAAGTGAACTCAAGGCCAGCCTGAACTGCACAGCGAGACCCCGTCTCAAAAAAAAGAAAAAAAAAAAAGCCAAAAAGAATACCTCTGAAAAGCTATCCACTTGTAAAAGAAATTTACATCTATCTACACGAATAAGCAGCATTGCTATCTGAAATCCCCCCCTTTCTGCCCAGGGACTCTTTCTGCAGGAAGCAGAGATTTGGACATCTGAAACCTGCAAGGACAGACGCCACAGGTGGCTGTGGCCCGGAAGTCTTCATCTGCATAACAAGACAGCCCTGGCTTGTGGGGCCTCTTCAGCCACCTTTTCACAGCCCGTGTGCGCCTGCCGGACCCCCCAAGCTCAAGCCCCTGCCCCCTAGAGCTCTGAGTAGGGCTCAGCCATCCGGTCTCCCTTGGAGTTTCGGATTCCTGTCCCTTAAACAGTGCTGCCCGGGGTATGTTTTTGTTCCTGTTATCTATTGACATTTTATTACATAGAATAAAATTACCAAGACTTCAGAGGGAAAACAGCAGATCCAAACTTCCCTACATGAAAAAAAGAATTTTTAATTTTGAAGAAGTATAGCAGAAACTGTTTTTTGTTGTTTGTTTTTGTACCGGGGATTGAATCAGATCCTTCGCCTTGAGCCACATCCCCAGTGGCTCCCTCCGCCCTTTTTAAAGCCAGAGTCTCACTAAATCACTAAATTGCCCAGGATGGCCTGGAATTTAGGATCCTCCTGCTTCAGACCTCCACACGACTGGGATTATAGGTGTGCACCACGAAGCCTGGCTCAAACCTGAGATTTTGAAGAGCGCCCACTACATACTGTATTGTTTCACTGAATCCCCAGAACTCTGGAGGAGGTAGTAACTACTGCTGCATTCCGCAGATGTGGGTGTACTCTGGTCATTTGACCTTTGGTTGTACCAAAGGAGCCCACAACTCGAGGCAGGTAGCCAGCCGCGTGGAAACTAGCCCAGGGGCCCGGAGTAGAGACCGCCCGGGTCCTGTCTCTTTAAAACTTCCGGCCTGCGCATCTCGCTGGGTCACAGGCCACGCCCCTAGGAGTCCTTCCCCCCCCCCCCGGCTCAGGCACGCCCACCTGCGGCACTGACGCTCGACCAATCAGAAGCGGTTGTAGGCGGGTGCTGCCGTCCAGCAAGCCAATAGGCGGGCAGCCGGAGCCGGGTTTGCCGGGGCATGTGGGAGCCGCGGCCGGCCGGCGACACGTGCGGGCCGGAAGAGACGCCGGGGCTTCAGGTGAGCCGGGGACGCAGCCCTTGGCCGCGGTGGGTCGCAGCAGGCAGTGCGGCGTGTCCCGGGCCTTGGAGGGGGCGATGCGGGCCGACCTGGGGGATGGATCTCTGCCTGTTTGGGGGCCCCGGCCTGGGGGTCCTCGGCCCGGACGCCGCGACCGGTTGGTGACACCGCCCGAGGCCTTCTGGGGACGCCGGCCGGCGGGGAGGTCGGCCGCGCTTTCCGCGCGTTGGAACTTTTTAGTAACACAGGAGATCTTGAGCCAGTTTCTCCCAAGTCGGGGCAATTTTGAGAACCTTGGCTTGTGGGTGGGGTCGCCCTTAGCCACCATGATTCTCAGAAGCTGGGTGATGCTCCTCTGTATTTCCAGCACTCTGGAAGGCAGAGGCAGGAGTATCTCAAATTCGAGCCCAGCTTGGGCACCTCAGCGATTTGGAGAGAGTCTGGTACAAAATTTTAAAAATGTTTTTTTTTAAGGGTTGAGGATGTGTGTAGCTCTGCGAAGGCTCTGGGTTTAATCCCCAGTACGGCAGGGGGAAAATTCCAAGATCCTCTCTCCAAGGAAGTTCCGGTGGGCAGATGTAGTGTTTTAGCAGATGTAGTGTTACTGAGAATTACCTGCTATCACAGCCACGCCTGTCTAATCCCACACCACTGGTGAATCTGACTCTGCTCCCTCCACATCTTTGTTTCGTGGTCTTTGCCATTGGGCCTTTTTCCTGGACCAGGGAGCCTGCTGCTCCGACCCGCAGAGCCCCCAGTAGTCTGGAGCGAGGTTTGTATCCGCATTTGCTGAAAGGGCTGTGCACTTCGAGCCAGCTCCGTCTGGGCTGGCGCCTGAGTCTCGTGCAGGTCACTGCTGGTTCTCATAGCCAGGCCGCGGCAGGTGGAAGAGGCCTGCTGTTGTCTCTTCAAACGCAAGGCCATGTTGACCTCCGGGAACCTAAGTTTAGCTTCTTTAGGACCTTGTGTCGGGCAGGAAGGCCACTCATTCTATGACCCTCAACGCCACAGAGGAAAGCCCGCACCGCAAGCCAGTTCAGGGAGGGCGAGCTGGGGCTTAGTGCAGGTATTCTCCCGTTTGTGGGCTAAGGCACATTGAAGTTCTGAACGTGTCACTTCTGACAGCTGCAGTTAAAGCATCTTTAAAGGGAGGAGGCTTTGGAGAGGGAATGAATAGGGCCAGGTGGATGAGTCAGAATGGGTCACCAAGCCTCACCCTGGCCCTTGGTGCCGGAGGCCTCCTGCATGAGCTGGCATCAGCAAACCTGGGCTCCACCTCACTCTCACCCTGTTTCCGTCTCTGCTGCTACTGCCAGCATTCTTATCCAGCCCACTCTTGTTCCTGGAAGGCAGTTGTGATCACTTCACCTTCCCCCTGAAATACTTAGCTGGCTCCTGGTGCATCTCTGGGGAAGCCCACGAGCAGGCAGTTCTCACACCTCCACCTGTCTCCTCACTCCCTGCCTCTGCGCCCTTCGAACTGTGCTGCTGGCAGTGCCGCGTATCGGCTCCTGGGCTTTGGGCCTGTGACTTCGCTTTCTCAGAACCTTTCCTTCCCGGACTACCTGGTGGGCCGACCTAGCTGGACCCTTGCAGAGTGTCCAGAGTGTAGGCCTCCTTCAGCTGGTTTCTCTGCCTGTCCTGTGCCCCTCCCTGTCGCCCCCTGCTGACCACACCGCTGTGCCTTTGCCACCCTCCACTCAGCTACATCCCCAGCCCTTTTTAAATTTTGAGACGGGCTCACTAAGTTTCTTTGCTGAATTGCCCAGGCTGGGCTCAAACTTGCAGTCCCTCCTCCTCAGCCTCCCAGTGTGCTGGGATTGGAGGTGAGTGGCTCCACACCTGGTAGATTCTCGCTCTTATCAGTCTTTTTCTCCTACTCATTGGGTGGAGTCCTCATTTGCCATGCCTCAGTTTTTTTTCCTGGAAAGTGGGGTAATTGCTTAGCTGGGGTGCTGGCATGACTCCATGCAGTTGCAGCAGTCCTCCACAGGGGGTGGTAGCAGTGTGGGTGCTGTCCCCGGTGAGGCCGGTCTCCGACCCAGTCCGGAGCTGTGAGCTTCAGTACTGAGGAGTAGGCTGACCACCTCTTAATGCAGCCCCTTTGCCCCTTTGTCCTCTCCATAGGGTGCTGCCCCGAGGAGAGACCGCCTCCCTGGCGTCCCTTGCCGCAGGCTGTGAACTGACTGGCATGGTCCAGGGGGAAGGCCCTGGGTCTACTCAGTGCCTGCCCAACGCCAGCCTGAACGCCAAGGATGTGCTCCGGAGAAGGCACAAGAGGAGGAGCCGACAGCACCAGCGCTTCATGGCCCGGAAGGCCTTGCTGCAGGAGCAGGGGCTGCTGAGCATGCCTCCGGAGTCAGGCTCCTCCCCGTCAGAGGCACCGCCCGGCTCTGAAGCTGCCAGCGGCGGGAGGCAGCATCCCAGGGCTGGCTTTGCTGGTGGTGGCCTGGGCAGCAGACGGCCAGCCCCCAGGGAAGCCTCGGGGCCCTCCCCCAGCAAGTATGTGGCTGTTGACTGTGAGATGGTGGGCACGGGACCCCGAGGGTGCGTGAGCGAGCTGGCCCGCTGCTCCGTGGTGAGTTACCATGGCGACGTCCTCTACGACAAGTATATCCGGCCTGAGATGCCCATCGTTGACTACCGCACTCGCTGGAGTGGCATCACGCGGCAGCACATGCGCAAGGCCATCCCCTTCCAGGTGGCCCAGAAAGAGGTGAGGGCAGGTGGGGGGGGCTCGTCCAGGTTGTGTGACGGGCTGCATGGTGCAGCTCTGAATGTGAGTATAGTCAGATCCCACTGAGCATGAGAGACCTTGAGAAAGTCCCTTGCCTCCTCCAAGCAGTAGGTTCCTTCTCCATACATGGTGTGTGATCAAAGAACGTGATGGACGCTATTTTTAATTTTTAAAGGTGCTGCAGTAAAAAACAGATTGCTATTAATCCTCCTCAAAATTCTCCCACTCTCTTTGAACACACTTAGCCCATCATTCTTGCCACTTCCGAAAAACAGTTCTGGAAGTCCTCCCCGTGTCTTTTTGTACCTGCCTCAATGTCCTGAATCGATTCTACATGGCCACAGTGGTTTCTGTCATATAAAAACATGACAGTGTGTTCTCACTGGGTCTGACACTGTCATTTCTGGCTCTTCCCCAAAGTCAAAATAACCATGAAATGTAAACGTTTTGAATCCACTTGGGCGATTAAGGCACCCACAACAGCACAATTAAAGACACTCCCGAAAGAGGACTTCCAGAGCTGCTTCAGAAAGTGGCAAGAATGATGGGATGAGTTGTGCTCGAGGCAAGCGAGAGGGTTTTGAGGGGGATTGGTGGCAGTGTGTCTTTTACTGTGATAAGTTGTCTTTTAGATTTAAACGTTCACCGTATTTTGTGATCACACCTTGTAGAATAGGGTGAGTAAAAATCTTGGCCCCACCTCCATGAAGGGTTGGTGGGGCAACACACAGGGTAATGTCTGTAGAAGGTTATGCCCTTGATGAGAGATGAAACAGCTTACCTTTCGGGGTCTGCTTTGTGCTATAAAGTGTTAGGTGTCTATATGAGAAGTACAGGGCCTGTATCCCTGAATCCTTCAGGCACTGAGCTGTTAGTGTATTTCCTTATGCTAGTTTTTAAGTGCTTGGAAAAAATTGCTCAGTAGTTGGGACCCTGCTAATGTAGCAGGAATTCTCAGGTGCTCTTGACCATAGCAAACATCTAAAGCCTGATTAATGAGCTAGCGCCCTTGTCCATAGGTTCTTCCATGAAGATTCTGATCCTGCAGGTCTCTAGGCTTGGGAGATCCCTAAAAGTTATGCTAAGCATACCCAGCACCGGATGTTCACGAGGAAATGGTGTTAGGTGCAACAGAGTCAGAAGGCTTGGTCAGTGACACCATAGAAAGAAAAAGAGAAACCTAACAAAAAATGATAGCACAGTTTTGCACGTGGGAAAGGGTTAGGAAATGCACAATCCACCAACGAGCAGGGCACTTTACCTTAAAAGTCCTGAAGTTTGCTGGTAGCAGCTGGTGCCAGGAGGGCAGCTGCTTGGGCTGGAGTGAAGCGTGTGCAGAAGAGCTATTTCTGAAAGCGGTACCACTGAGCCAGGTGCAGTAGTGCACACGCATAATGCTAGCTACTCAGAAGGATCACAAAATCAGGGTGAGCCTGGGCAGTTTACTTTAGCAAGACCCTGCCTCAAGACAAAAGGGCTGGGAATACAGCTCCGTGGAAGAGCACCTGGGCTTTGAATCCAGGTCTAACCCCAGGTTAACCCATGTAGGTGTAGATGTGTCCACCTGGGCAGGCGGGGGCGCTGGTGTGTGAGCAAGGTGTGCACCTGCCATGTGCCCTCACTTAGCCCTGTCCAGCTGGGCACCTGTTGTACGTTAGTGTTTCTCAGGGATAAAAGCAGGCATGAGCAAAAGAGAAGTTAATAAATCAACATTCTTACACTGTATCCTAATCCAGTCTTGTATTGAATCCAATCTTGTATTGAAACAAGTTTGCATTTTCAAAAGAAGCAGTAGAACAGAACAACTTTGTAACACTTCTGGGCTGTTGGGAGGCAAGTTTGGGAAATAACTGCTGTAACTCCCCATCCGTCCTGCTCATGCAGCAGTTCTTTGGGAAGACGAGATTATCTAGGCCATAGGCCAAGCGGGAACAAAAGCAATAGGAGTGAGCCTGTGTAAGCGCCCCACCCCCAGCCCCCTCCTTCTGCCTGGCTCAGGGAAGGCTTGGTCTCTCCCCTTCTGGGGTGGTGAGGGGTAGAGTAGGAGATGAGGTGTGAGACTTGTATGGTGACGCGTCCCATGACGTCTGAACACATCTCGTCGCTGCCCGCAGAGGTGGGTCGTGTGAGGCCAGCAGCTGGTGGTGAGAGCACAGGCCCAGGGCCTGGACGCGGCCTCCGTGGGTGCTAGGAGGAGAGGGGCACATTGTGCCCACAGACCAGGTTGGCGAGCGAGGAGGGGCAGTTGGTACACAGAGGAGCGAGGGGGCAGAATCCTGCAGCCAGGACCGAATCTCTTACATACTAATAAGAGCTTCTGCCCTTGCTGTACATACTGGCACCAGGCGTGGTTCTGTTGACCTCACCTGGTAGGTCTTCACTGACCAAAAACTGATAATAAATCAGTACATTGGAGCGGCACTGGTGAAGTCACATCGGGTCCCTGTGCTCTTGGGTCCCGGCGTGGGAGGCATTGCTGCACCATCTCATGAGCCGAATGTGTCCCTAGAAAACAAGATGAGTCCTCTGAAGGGGAGAATGGAGTCCTGGACAGACTGGACTTGTGGGACAGCCCAGCCAGTGACCTGAGACCCACAGCCCAGGAGGGGCTCGGAGCGGAGGTCTTGCCAGCAGGGAAGGGCTGCATGTGCCTAGTGACGAGAAGCTTCCTGTGGAATGCGGTGGGCAGGGTGCCTGCACGGGTCCAGAGTGTTTAAATTACAGCCTGCCGGTTACAATCAGGAAAAAGGCCTGGGTTCATCCAGGCGAGGTGCTTCACACCTGTGGTCCCAGCTGCTCAGAGGCACAGGCAGGAGAATCACAAATCCAAGGCCAGCCCGGGCAACTTAGACCTTGTCTCAAAATTACAAAATAGTCTGCAGATGTAGCTCAGTGGTGGAGCCCTTACCTAGCATGGGTGAGGCCTTAGGTTCAATCCTCAGCACCAAAAGAAAAAAATAACAAAAAAGACAGACCTAGGTTCAAACACGGGGTAGCAAGTTTGATGATGGAGCCCAGGATCTGCCTCTGCTGCTCCCCAAGGGTCTGAGCACTGCTAGGAGAGGTGCGTCCATCTCGCTGCAGGCCTGACTGGGCTCTTCTCCCTGCTCCTCTCCACTCACAGATCCTTAAGCTCCTGAAGGGCAAGGTTGTGGTGGGGCACGCGCTGCACAATGACTTCCAGGCCCTCAAGTATGTCCATCCCCGGAGCCAGACCCGCGACACCACGAGCGTCCCGAGCCTGCTCGGCCAGCCTGGCCTCCACACCCGAGCCCGAGTCTCCCTGAAGGACCTGGCCCTGCAGCTGCTGCACAAGAGGATCCAGGTGAGTGCGCAGGAGTGAAGCCGGTGGCCCCAAGCCCCTGAGTGAGGATGGGGCTGTGGGCCGTCCTTTCCCCATCCAGGTCGCCTTGTGTAGCGAGCGCGCTGGGTAAATGTCACTTCTGTCTGAACTCTCCTTGGCGTGTCCCCCACCTGACCACTCTGTCCTGCACCCCCAGACTTTGCTCTCGTGTCACCTAGAAGCAGACATGAGGCCCTCGGTCAGGGCTGGGGACCCTGATCCTGCCCTGCTTCATGTTCACTGTCATCAGCTCTTCATCCCCCAGAGCGGGAAGCTTTCGCCGTGTCTCACGGTTAAGAGAAGTAGGATCTGAAGCGAGGCGGCCTGTGGCCTGTCCCCCAGGCAGTGACACTGGCTCTCGTCCGCAGGTGGGCCAGCACGGGCACTCATCAGTGGAAGATGCTGCCACAGCCATGGAGCTCTACCGGCTGGTGGAGGACAGGTGGGAGCAGGAGGTGGCCAGCAGCCTGTGGTCGTGCCCCGAGGACAGGGAGCCCGACAGCAGCACGGACGTGGAGCAGTACATGGAGGACCAGTACTGGCCGGAAGACCTGGCCCCTGGTGCTGGGGCAGGAACAGGAGGGGTGCAGGAAGGAAGCGAGTGAGAGGGAGGAGGGTTGAGGAGGAAGCCCGGGCCAGGGGACACCGGGCGGGACATCCAGGCGGGACAGGGCAGGCAGGGTGTTTGGTGCCCAGGGTCAGAGCTGCCAGCACCGTCTGTGTGCTGTGCTCAGTGCAGCCCCCCAAGCGTTGTTGGCAGTTCGTTCTTCTGACTCCTGTAGATTAACTAAGGGCACTTTATAGATCTGCAGGTGGCAGGAGTCAGGCAGTTCCACCCGGCTGTCGGGGCTTTTCACAGGGCCCCATGCCGTGCTGGCTGTAGCACGACACCCCCTCACCCCTGGTGGTCAGTGTGCTGGAGCTCCCTTACCTCAGTTCGGTGACAGGGTGGAGTTCAGTTCTTGTCACCTAACTTCCTGCAGGGTCATGTTTGGTTCAGAACAACTGCCCTAAAGTGGAAGTTAAGTCCTCATTTCTCCCGTCTCTGTGCCGCAGCTCTGGCCACAGCTACGGTAGGAACCTGGGGCCCTGCGGGGCCTGTCCTCTCCCTGCTAGGCTAGACGGACTAACAGAGCCCAGGCCTCCCGCAGGAGCTGGCCCCTTCCCAAGCGTAGCATCAGAAGTCCTTGGGTGCAGTGCAGGGAGCAGGCTGGGCAGAGCAGCTCTGAATGGGAACTGACACGTTTGTGACCGAGTCAGGGATTCCCATGCCCTCCCGCAGGAAGCTCCCCCTGCACCGAAGGCAACTGCACAGTGGTTTGAGTTAAGTTGTGGCCCCCACTCTAGGAAGTCAGGGTGTCTGCAGCTGCAGGTGCGGCAGCTGCTGTCTCTGCACCCCATGTGGTGCTGCCCTGCTCGGGTTGGTGGTCACTGTGACTGCTGGGCTTTAGGTTAGTTTCTGAAAGTGCTGTTTCCTAAGGAGCAGCTTTGGCGTGCCGAGATGGCCAAGGGCTCCAGGCACACGGGCCTCTGAGTCCTGTGTTTGCTGCCACGTGGCGTTGAGCGTCAAGGCCAGCTGTGACTGCCCTAGTCTGCTTCCCCATGTGTAAGTGGCGAGACTGGCATGGGCTCCCGCATAGGGTGGGTGGGGAGGAGGCTAGAGGCCAGGTGCCCCAACAGTGCCCGGCCCGCCCTTTACGAGCAGGCCACTGACCTTGTGGTCTCCAAGGCTGTGACCCTGTGCTGGTCCCCCCAGCACGGGGCCTGGGCCAGCACAGGGACGCGGCATGGAAGTTCAGGGTTATCTGCAGGTGTGGCCTGTGGCTCTGCAGTGCCGCTTCCTGTCAGTGTCCTGCCAGAGTGTGCAGGAAGTGATGGCGTTGGGACAGCACGGTGTGGGGGGGCATTGCCACACGCCCACTAGCCACTGTCAGCTGAGGCTCCCACCCCAGGGCAGAGGCTGTGGGGCGCTGGCTCCTCCCTGGCAGCAGAGCAGGAGGCCAGCCAAGCCACGGCCACAGCTGGCCTCTCTCAGGATGTCGATGGGGCCAGTGCCAGACTCAACCAAGCAGTGGTTTGGTTTGTGGATGGAGGGAAGGTGGCGCTGTCACTGTTACCAGTGGGAAAAGTGCTATTGAAAATCGCTTTGTTACGAAGCCATTTGTTCTGGAATAATGCTCCCCCGGGAGGGCGGGTGAAGTGACCCTCCACATGAGTCATCTGTCTGGCTTGTTGGGGCTCCCAGCTTTGCTTTGTAGAAGGAGTATCTTTTAAAGTGGGGGGTATGGCAAAAAGTAACAGCTACAGAATTACAATTTTTTACATTTTACAGTTGTCCTATTATAAAGCACAAATTTAATTTCTCCCCAAACAATACGCTTACTTTAAATTTTTAAAATTGTGATAAAATATACATAATATAAAGCTTACCAGCTCAACCATTTGTAAGTGTACAGTTCTGTGTTAAGTATTTCACATCGTTGTATAACAGATTCCCAGAGCACTTTCATTTTGCAAAACCCAAACGTGGTCCCTTTGGCTTGAATCACTGTGGTATCTGCATGACTATTACAGTGAATACAGTGGAGCTAAGGGAGTCACTGCTTCCCCTCCATTTAATTCTCAAGCACCCTATGGTTGTGTCCATTGTCTGAAGAGGGAGAGAAATTTAAAAAACCCAGGGGATCTGTGATGCTCTAGGTGAGAGCACATGTATGCTGGATCCCCTAGGTTGATCTGGTCAGCTTTACCCTACTCCCACCTCATTGCAGGCTCATAAATATGTACTATATGTCATGAGTGTAATTAAGATCGGAGTGAATTCTGGGGCAGCGTGCATGTTCAGAGCCCCTCAGATGACTCAACACCGTCAGTCATCGCTCCTGTCAATCAGGACCTGTCCATGCAGGTGTAAGCTGCAGGTACAGGATCCTTTACACTGCGAAAGCCGGATTTGTGCTGTTTGACTCTGGCCGCTTTCGTGTGCTTTGACCTGTGTGTAGCGCTTTTCTGTCACCCTGGCACCTTGCTGTATGGTGGCATAGACTTCCACACCTTCCTGTGATCTTCAATAAATGTAGCTGCTTGCTCACTATGGGGTGTACACTGGGCGATTCTTTCCTCGTCATACACAAGAGTCTGGGCTGGTACCAGTCCATCCCTCTGCAACACGACTGTCTCTTCTGGTGGCCTGTATCACTTTTTATCAGTCTTTATTAATAAAACTAATAAAAAGTCTAATTGCCTGGATCTAGTTAGTTGCTTGAATTTGAATAATTACTGCCTAAATATAAATATTAATACGTTCATACCAATTAAAATTATTGCAATAATCAGCAAATTTATTTCATTAAAAAAATTGATATTTATGAATAGTTTATCAATAATTTAAACGTGGAGCTCTCACCAGTACCCCGTTGCTGTTGTATATAATGTACAGTTAAAACTTCAATACCAAAAAGTAGCTACATTACAATTCTTTTTACCATTTTAATGTTTTCCTTAAGGAACTGTAATAGGATGACATCCAGTCTGCTAAACCAAAGCCTTTCTTTGCATTATTGTAATCAAAGGCCCCTGTACAAGCCACCCAATGGGATAGTCATGCTTGTACCACCTGTGATTCTGTCACAGCCTGGTCTGAGGGTCCCCAAGGCTGAAATCAGGAATTTAACCCACCCCGTTAACAGAAGTATGCAGGTTCACTGACTCCTGTCCTGGAAGAAGAGTTTTCAGGATGCACTAGTGAAAAAAGAGGCATGAGAAAGATTTATGAGAAGTAAATAAAGGACACACTCGAGCGGAGTGCGGGTGCTCAAGAAAATGAGGCGCAGGTTCTAATCCAGATAGGTATCGCCCTTGCTGTATGCGGTGGTCACTGCAAACCGTTGCAGGTGGAGGTACACCTTGAGCCGCACCTCGGAGTCTCCATTCCTTTCTGGGCTGGAGGAAGCTGAAGGAAAGGAGATAAACCGCTGAAAGGGACTTGCCCATGTTTGCTGTTTTGGGAGTGAGTAAACGGGACGTGTAGTGATGTTTTGTTTTGTTTTATTTTGTTTTGTTTTTAGACAAGGTCTCACTTGAGGTGCAGGCTGACCTCAAAGTCACAGTGATCCTGCCTCAGCCTTCTGAGTGCTGGGATTACAGGCCTGTGCTACCACACCTGGCCCTGGCCTTGTGTTCAGAAGATGGAGTTTTTCTTTAAAAGTACAATTTTAAATTCTCTGTTTCCTGATCTCCATCCTACCGTATTTTATTTCTTTGATCCTATCTCAGTTAAAGCTGACAGGAATGATCAAATTTAAATCAGTTGCCTGGCGGCAAGACATGAATTCAGTCCCTTTGTGAGTGTGTTAAGTAGTAACTCCCATCTACCTATCCACTACCATTTTGAGTTTCTATGCATTTGAGCAGATACTGTATTTTATTTTTTAAATTGTCCTGCCTGCTCTTGAACTTGTAATCTTCCTGTCTCAGTCTCCCAAGTGCTGAGATTATGGGCAGGTACCACTATGCCTCGCATCAACTAGATACTTCATATAACTGGACTCAGAATTCTCATGGCTGGTTTATTTTGCTTAGCATAGTGTCCCCGAGGCCCACCCATGTTGTTGCTTTCCTTGGGGTTGCACAGACCTTGGTGTGTGTGTGATGTGTGCATTTATCTGCTCCTCCGCCACTGGCCAGCATGGGGTTGCCTTCCCATCTTGGACATTGTGGATAAAGCCACTGTGAACACGGTGCACGCAGGTCCCCTTTCAAGGTCTGCTTTCCACTAGCAGGACAGGTATACATTTCAGGGACAGGTCCAGCCACGGTTGGGACAGCTGAGCTGGGAGGGGCAGGCTGACTCCAGGGAAAGGTGGCCTCTGACCCTCTATTCACTGTCTTGCACCATTTTATGTTACTTTGACAAAATGCCCAAGGCTGGGTGCTTTAGAACAATGCTTTAGAAAGGGGCTTACTTAGTTCACAGGTGTGGAGAGCAAGAGTACCACATAGGGCCGGGGAGATAGTCAGTGGCACAGCGCCTGCCTTGCAAGCATAAGGTCCTGAGGTCGATTCCCAGTACCAAAAAAATAAAAAAGTACCGCATTGGCCCGTGTTTGCTCTGTGGGGAGCCCCATGACTGACATCACAATGGTGGGAGCACGTGGAAGAAGAGATCCCTTGGTGGACAGGAAGTAAGAGAGAGCTGAGAGCCGGATTTGCTTTATAACAACCCGTTCCTGCAGTACCACTGAGTCCCGAAGGACACAAGCTCTCAGGAGGCTGCATTAGTCTGTTAATGAGGGTGGTGACCCCCACTCATTACCTCCCGTTAGGTTACCTTAACATCACCATACTGGGGACCAGGCTGCCAGCAAGTGACCTCTGGGGCCACACTCAAACCATGTCCGCCCCACATCATGTACCCTCTGGTTGGCAGGCACCAGGGGTCCTCGCGGTGGGGATTGCGGAGGGCCACACGGGGGCGCTCTTCCTGCTGCAACTTCACATGCTTAAAACTGCTGGTAGAAAGCAGAGCGCTCACATATAAGAATTGAATTAAACATGAACTGTGTACCAGTGAGCATATAAAACATGCTCGATAGCATTGATCATTAGGGAGGTGCAAATCAGACTGTGTACGGGGGTACAGCTGGTAAAGCCACTCCCCTTGAGGGGCTCCCTCTAACCTCACCTGAGCCAAGGTTCGTGGGCATGGCCTGGAGATGGGCTCACTCCCCTTCTGGTGAAGCTGAGCAAGTCAGGAAACCCCCTGGCTGAGATCCGGCTTCCTCCTTCCGCGCCGTTGGTCTCCAGCGCCTGGGGCCAACATTGGAGCCCTCAGTACCTTTAAAAAAAGCCAGCCTCGCCCAGGCAAGGGTCAGCTGCTGGGCTCCCAGCAATGACCCTCAACGAGGTGGGGCAGTGGACTGTCCAGTATTTCCCACACCACCCACTGCCATAGAAAAAGCCCGGGAAGAGGATAAAAGGTTCCCTTTTATATGGAGAGGCCTGTGGGACAGAGAGCAAGGCCAGGAGAGGACCTGGAGAGGGGGCTGCCAGAACCAGTTCAGCACATGCCCAGACCCGCAACAGATGTGCCTCCTCAGGACTGCTGACCTTCCTGGAGCTGGCCTGACCCCACTGGTCCCTCCGGTCACTGGGCCCAGTGCTGGGGCAACAGCGGGCATTGAAGGAGGGGGCAGGACCTGCTGATGGCTTGGGAGGAGTCACTGGGAACAGAACCTGAGGCCCTTCGTGCAGGTTTAAACTTAAAAGAGGGTCATAAAAAAACATTTTTTGTCTTTTTTTTTTTGTCTTTGAGACAGGGTCTCGCTATGCAGTTCATGCTGGCCTTGAACTTACTTTGTAGCCCAGGCTGGCCTCAAACTCACAGCGACCCCTCCTGCCTCAGCCTCCTAAGTGCTGGGATTACAGGTGTGCACCACCACGCCCGGTGCATAAGTAGAAACATGGACACACAGAGAAGCCAGAAGCTGCCCAGGAGTTGAGGGGTGAGGTTTTGTAACCATGAAATAGGCTGATATAATCCAGGCTCTTGTGTCTTGCACAAAGAATTGCAGATATACTCTGAGGGGCAAGTGAAGGGGGTTACATTGCCTGAAGGTCCCGGGAAGCGGTGTTCAGGGTAAGTCTGTGCCAACAGAAGATACAGCACATGCACAACAAGGTGTCGGGGTGACAAAAGGCACAGCACATGGCAGCAGCACATAGGTCAAACCAGAGTTTCAGAATTTAAAGGAAAGGAACCTCTGCTTAGCTGCCTCCCCCAAACCTGTAGGTGTGATTGACAGGAATGATTGACAGGGTGCTGTGTTATCTCCAGGGCTCTCAACACACATGCCTATCCCAGAATTCATTCTGATCTCAATTATTCTTTGACATGTAGTGCGTACTTATGAAGCCTTAATGAGGCTGGAGTAGGGTGAAGATGCCTGAAGGTCACCTGGGTCCTGACAGTGACAGCAAACCCTTCAGAGACAAGTGTCCAAACTGAAACCCCACGCCCGCTTATTTGTGGCAAAGTACCAACCCTGCAGTTAAACCCGAATACTGAGATTTTAGTTTAGGAAAGGCAACTTACACATTAACATCTTTTGTCTTAAAAGAAAAACAAATAATATTCATGCCATAGATTCACCACTACTGAGAGGAGATCTAATGCACATGTGCTCTTGCCTGATGATCTCCTGAGCTTTTGTTATTTTATTTTCTACCTCTCTCCGGACAGTGGAAGACAGAACGACCCCAGAGTGCTTGTGAGCTTGTATCTTGATGTGGTCGTAGGTGGGCAGTTCCGAAGGTGGTTGGGTTAGGGTGTGTGGATGTGGTGAGGTGTTCGGCAGTGGGGTTAAAGGTGTGGATAATGGAAGCCCCGCCCTGGGTGTGGGTGGCACCAATCAATAGGCCTGTTGTAGCCTGGGTGGAATATAGAGGGATAGAAAGGGGGCAGGCCTGCAGCCGCTCGCTGCTTTGTCTGCTTGCTGCCTTTCTGCCCGCCACACCACAGAGTGTCTCCCATCTGTGATGCGCCTCTACCTGGCTGCCCTGCTTTGGACTGAAATCTCTGCACACTGAGCTGAAAGCAACCTTTCCTCCTTTAACGTTGGGTGTTGGATATCATGGTAGGTTGACTAGTGGTCAACTTTCAACATCCAGCTGAACTGAATCAGCATGGTTCTGGGTGTAAAAGGCCTGTCTGGATGGATTTGGCTAAGGTTTGTTGCCAGCAGCATAAAAGGAGAACTGGTGGGGAAGACTATGTGCTGTTGATTCTCCTGGAGAGCTCGTCATGCTGGATTTCCTGATAAGACCTCAGTTGTTACCATCAGAGGAGCTTGTGTCCTCGCTGTAGCTGAGGATGGCTTCAGCTCTTTTCCAGGGAGCTCAAGTCCTTACCTGGAGTGTCGCTTCCTGGCTCCAGTGCAGATCCCTCAGCCTGCTGGCACAGATCCTTCATCCCGCTGGTGCAGACTCTACGTCCCACCGCTGGCCTTTGGGCCTTCCCAGTGCAGATCCCTGATACAGACTTGCATGAGACACGGCCATGGGCTCTACGTGTTCGCTGGACTCATGCAGGACATTGCCATTTTCTTTTTCTTTCTTTCTTCCTTTTTTCTTTCTTTCTTTCTTTCTTTCTTTCTTTCTTTCTTTCTTTCTTTCTTTCTTTCTTTCTTTCTTTTCTTTTCTTTCTCATCTCCTTTCGCTCCCTGTCTCTGTGTCTGTCTGTCTATCTCTCTCTCTCTCTCCCCCCTCTCTCCCCCACCCCCTCAGGAAATCACTGAGTTCTTAAGCTGAGGAGAGTCATGACAAACAGTAAAGGAGGCTAAATCTGGTAGAACTTGGACAGTTTAAATCAAGTCTTGAAGACAAAGGCAGGGAGACCCACATGTGGATGCACGGAGGAGATGAGGAGGGACCAGAGAAGGAGCAAAGGCCACACATAGAGGTCTTCAAGATGGGGGGCAAGCAGAAGGGCCAGACACAGGCTGTGGGACACGGAGCTCTGCTGTTCCCAGGGTTGCCACTGAGTGCTTGGGTCCTGTGGGAAATGTCCGCACAAACCTCCAGTCCAGTCTTTAGGGGGTTACTAAATGCACTTAAAAGTGACATGATTTGATCACCTGTTTATGCTGCTGCTCCTCCTAAATCATCGTACTACACTAGATCGTAGCCAAAAGGCTGAGAAAATTGATCACTCTAAATCACTGTTAGGAAAAAACAGAAGCAGAGATGTGAGCTCAACAGGACAGGCTGGTTGCAGAACAAACCTGGGAGGGACACTCTGGCAGGAGGCTCTGGCAGGAGAGACGGGACCAGCTGCTCTGTACAGGCTGTGGGGTCTTTTGTAGGGTCACGGGGAGCGGGGAGCTCGGTAAAGGGGGGTTGTGGCTCCCTGCCAAGAACAAGGCTTGAGCGACCGGAAGCAGTAACGGTTGCACAAGGACCAGGCTTGGGAAGGCACAGGGACAGGGGCTCCTATCCACTGCGGGGTGGTACTGCGAGTCCCCAAGTGCAACTGGCCAGCAGGGGGTGGTGTAGAGGGGTCTGACCCGGATGCCAGCAGTCGGATTCCTTCCATTGTAACCACTATTATGCATTTGAAAAGCAGAAAAGCCGCAGTCTGACGCAGGTAAAAGTCACTCATTTAGGATGGAGAGCAAAAATTCTCTTCCATACTCCACATGTGAACGAGCCACACAGCAGAGAGGAGAAAAGCCTTACCCCAAGACAGAGTCCAACATTTGGTTTTATTTGGGGGGGGGGTCTGTTTAAGTCAGGCGTCTCACTTGGTGAAAACACCACAGATCTGAGGAAGTTCCCTTCCCAGCCATAAATATTGGTGACAGTGGGGAGCAACCAGGGCACGTGGATCCGTGCCGTTTCCTGTGGGCCAGGGTAGGAGGGAAGCAAGAGGGGGGTTCACTCCTCATCATGTCCCTCCCACCACAGCGTACAGAGCAGCAGGCTGTCCCCCACGGAGGGTGACCCATTCCTGATTCCCTCGTTCATTCTGTCATGAGTACTGAATGCTGTCTCCGGGCCAGTTGCTCCTCTAAGAGCTCGAAGGAGTTCTGGCCCCGGACAGGGTCACCCTTCTTGGCAGGACTGTTGGGGCGTCCCCAAGACCTGCCCCGTCTCCATGTCTCTCTCCTTGTCAGAGCTCACTGTGGACAGATGTTGGGAGCTGCTGAAGCTGTAAAGTAATTGCATGGGCAGGACAAAGCCAGCCTGAGAACACGGGAGCTCCTCAAAGCACGTAAACAAGCCATTGTAGCTTGTTAACTGACTGCTGGACAGCGAGGTGAAAATTAACCAACCTCTTGACAGTATAAATAAATGCTCTACTGTTCTTGGATAGTTCCCCTTCTCCGCAGAGAGAGAGGACCTCCACTTGATCCCGGCTTTTTCTCTCTTGTCCGTATTTTCCTCATTCGTGCCACCGTTCCTTCCTGGGGTACAGCAAGAACCCAATGGATCCCTACAGACAGGTCTGTTTCTAAGGAAGGGGCAGCCTCAGTGCCTCGGTGCCTGCCCTGGATTGCGGTGGGAACCTCCCAACCCCAACCTCCTACCCTTCCCAGTTAATAGCCTCAGTGTCCCAAGAGCAGCTCGCCCTGCCTCGTAAAAGACCTCACAGTATCAGGCTGGTAGCCCCAGGAGCAGGGGACATTCCCAGGCTCCAACCCCGGGGGTGTTTGTTTGCTGGGCGGAGGGTGACAAAGCGAAGATGTCGAAATCCACTCCAAGCACATATGACGCTCTTCTGAGAGGGGGAGGGCCGGGGCAGAGGAGGGACACCTGGACGTGGCCGCCTTGACTCAGCCTCCCAGCTCCCTACCTGCTGCAGACTGGGGAGATGGAGTAGCCCAGCCCACTGCCGGCCTCCCGCCCCTCATTTCCCTTGAAACAAATTGGAAACCGAAACAGGGTCGGGATACGGGACTCCTGGTGAGAGATGAGTCAGTGCTCAGAGTGCCGGTAGTGGCTGAGAAGGGGCAGCAGAGAGGCGGACTCCAGCGAGGTGCAGAGGCAGGCAGGTGAGAGTGGCCGCGAGGGAGGGGACCTCCGGGTGTGCAGGCTGCCGGGCAGGACCAGCGGCCCTGGGACCCACAGCCGCGAAACCTAGTGGGGTGGCAGGAGGCCAGCTTCCCCTGTTGCCAGGTGACACTGGAGACAAAGGGCAGGGTGGGGAGGGTGCAGGCAGGCCAGCTAGGTGGTGGCCCAGGACACCGGGCGGCTGGCGTGACACTCCCGTGACATCTGAGGGTCCCTCCCCCAGCACTTCGGAGGGTGCCCACGGAACATGGCGGGCAGCCTGGAGGCGGTGGCCATAGACTGCGAGATGGTGGGGCTGGGGCCCCTCCGGGAGAGCGGCCTGGCCCGCTGCAGCCTCGTGAGTTCCTCCGGCTCCGTGCTGTACGACAAGTTCATCCGGCCCGAGGGGGTGATCACGGATTACAGGACCCGGGTCAGCGGGGTCACGCGTCTACACATGAAAGCAGCCACACCCTTCGCCGAGGCCCGAGGAGAGGTGAGTCGGGCCGGGGCAGCGAGCCCAGGGTAGCCCCCTCCCTCGCCCCCTGCTCCTTCTCTGGGACCTGCGGCCCCACCAGGGAAAAAACCATACCCCGCTGCAGGGAGAGCCTGAGGTTTCTCACCGCCAGAGAAACCAAGATGCCCATCTGGTTTCTGGTCCCGGGGGAAACTGAGTCCCGCCTGACAGCCCCCCCAGGCAATGATAGAGGCTGCCTTGCCCCGTCTTCCCCCATGCTGGGCCGCCACGAGGAGCCCGTGGGAAGCAGCTCACCGGAGCCCGTTCTAGAGGCCGGGCCGGAGCTCCCCAGAGTGAGGTACCGCGAGGAGTCTCGTCCCTGGCCCAGGGCGCCCCACCCACGCAGTATGAAGCCCAAGTCTGCGGCCCCAGTGTTTCCCACCTCCTTGCTTTTTAGCTTTGGTGATAGCAGCTTTAGGTTTCTCTTTCAGAGAAACAGAAAGGGGAAAGCAAAACTCAAGCCACCTAGAGGTTTCCCCCTGGTGAGTCACCTCTGGGAAGGTTCATCCGGGCAAGGGAGCCCGTGGGTCTCCGTGGGGCTGGGGAAATCCAAGCGTCCAGGAACTGAGGTTCCCTCACCGGCACACACCCGCCGCGGGCCAGAGAGCAAATCAGCACAGTAGCTCCCAGGGACTGAAAGTGTTGGAGAAAAAATTGCATCTGTCCTTAGTGAAAATGTACAGACACTTTCCTTCTTGTTATTCCCCACACAAGAGGGTAACAGCTATTCATACACCATTTACATTTTATCATCAGGTGCGCTAAGCTATTAGAGACGATTAAAGTGTGCGACAGGGTGTGCACAGGTTCTGTGCAGTCCTATGTAAGGGGCTCAGGCACCCTGGGATTCCGGGATCCTGGAATCCATGTCTGTTGACACTGAGCGGTGATATGTATGTCAGGCCTCTGTTTCTAAATAAGCCATGTTCGGAGGTAATAGGGCTAGGATTTCAACATGTACAGTGGGGTGAGCAGGAGAGAAATCAGCCCACTGCGCTGAGGAACTTCCCCTTGGATCAGGATGCAAACCCGAAAATTCAGCTCCAGTCCTGCTCGTCCGGGCTGAGATGTGCAATAAAATCCATGCTGGATTCCCACACTGATATTTAAAAAGGAACCACATAATACCTGAATTCATTTCTTTCTTTCTTTCTTTCTTTCTTTCTTTCTTTCTTTCTTTCTTTCTTTCTTTTTCTCTTTCTTTCTGTCTTTCCATTTTAAAGAGAATAGTAAAAAAAGGAACAATAGCAAAATACAAACAAAGCAAAGCAAGGACATTAAAAATGATACAGGGTTTCAAACCAAATGATAGGGATTAACAGTGGTTGTTATATTACATATTGTTATCTTCAACAAAGTTGCTCAGATCACCAGATGTAGGACTGGAAGACTGATCAAACCATTAAAGAAAATAAGCAAATAATAATTTAAATAAACGTTAGAGATAATACAGAGTTTCACTAGACAGGAGGGTAGGAATTTGCCAATGGCTGTTATATTGCATATTGTTGTCTTCACATAAGTTGCTCAGATTACCAGATATAAGCATGCAAAATTGATCAAAATATATTAAAAAAATTTAAGCATGAACTGTTCCTTTCAATAAACCACCAGACATCAGCAGTACAGTTATCCCAGCCATCCTTCTATATACATATATATGTATACATTACCTTAGTACTTTCTTACTATTATATATTGAAATGATCATGATTATATATTGAAATGATCATATTTTTATATGATCTTACTTTCTTACTATTATATATTGAAATGATCATGATTATATATTGAAATGATCATATTTTTGATGTGTTGCTTAAAGGAAACACTAAAATTAACTTCACCTTTCCCTTTTTACCTTTTTCCTTTTAAAAATGTATTTATTTAGGCTTTTGCTGTGTACCCCAGGTTAGCCTTGAACTCCTGATCCCCCTGCCTCAGCCTCCCAAGTGCTAGGTACCAATATGTGCACCATGTCCAGCTTCTTTTCCCCTTTTTAAATATAGCTATTAAGTGATTTAAAATTACATCTGTGGCACATCCTGCTTCTATTGGATGACACTGTTCTAGGAATATCAGGAGGGTAACGCAGAGCCCAGGGGAGGCCACAGCGTGTCAGTGTGGCTCTGGAAGGATGCAGGTGGCCAGTGGCATTTGAAAAGAGTGGGGAAGGAGGATGTGTATGTAATTTGGAGAGCCACTGAGAGCCATTGAAGATTCTTGAGCAAGGGTGTGGCTGGATAAAAGCTAGTTTTCAGAAAACTAGTTGTAGGGGCTACACGGGAGTAAGGGAAGAGTTGGAGGCGTCCTGAGAAGCCCCTGCGCGGCGTCCCTAAACCAAGATCCCCATTGAGCAGCCTGGGTGGACGACATGTCTTCACCCTTCCTCCTCGTCCCCAGCTCCTCGCCCACCAAAGTGTCACAGGTGCAGAAGAGCCCAGAGAGCACAGGGAAAGGCTCTCACATGCCCTGGCCTGGACATTGAGGGCTGGCAACCCCAAGCCCCTGACATCCTGAGCACCGGCCCGCGGGCCAGGGCACCTCCCTCCATCTCAGTCCCCAAGCAGGAACTGTGCTGAGCCCCAGCCACCATGCCTGACACGAAGCCCTGCCCAGAGCGGGCGCTCGTAGCCGCCAGCAGCTCTCCGGAACGTCATCTGGGCTTCGCAGGGCCTGCCCTGGGTCACCGCCCGGTTTGTGGGGCCTGGGGCGAGTTATGGAACTTCTGCCCTGCGTGGCCTCAGGCGGGCGGATGAGGGATGTGGCTGGGACCCTGAGCACAGGCCCTTGAGGGGGACGCTTGTACTCTTGGGAGCGCCATGCTCTGCTCCTCTGTCTCCTGCTCGCTGCCTGCCTCCCACTCTGCTGCCTGAGCACCGTCCCCAGGCTAGCCCAGAGCCTAGATACTATCAGTCATGCATATGGCGTGAAAAAAAAAATCCTTATTACAGTAAAAGACACATTGCCATAAATCCCCCTCAGAACACTCCCCCTCACTTTGAACACGTCGCTCTTGTCCCAGTCTGAAGCGGTTCCCGACGCCCTTTCCTGAGTGTCTTTAGTTGTGCTCTTGTGGCCGCCTTGATGTTCAGAATCAGCTCAAAACACTTTCTTCCTGGCCGTTTTGACTTTGGGGAAGGGACAAGTCACAGAGTGCCACATCCGGTGGATAAGGTGGGTCAGGACACAGCATCAGGTTTTTAGGTCCCTGCCTCTCTGCTGGAGGGCACTCGGCAGCAGCATGCACTGTATTTTAATCACAGCTCATAAAGACACTCAGGAAAGAGGACTTCCAGAGCTGCTTCAGGAGGTGGCAAGAATGATGAGATATGTGAGGGGGAATATTTTGAAGGGGACTCACAGCGATGTGTGCTTTACTAGAATAAATTTCTTTTGGTACCAGAAATCGAATTCACACTCTCAAGGTTGCCAGGCAGGCACTGTGCTGCTGAGATGTATCCTCGACCCTTTTTTGGGGGTTTGTTTTTTTGAGACATGGTCTCACTATGTAGTAGTTCAAGATGACTTTGAATTCTGTATGTAGCTCAGGCTGGCCCTTTAACTCATGGCAGTCCTCCTGCCTCAGCCTCCTAAGTGCTGGGATTATAGGCATGTGCCGCCACACCTGGTTTATAAAATATTTTTTAATGTAAATATTCACCATATACTTGATCACCCCTTGGACCTCCCGCTGTTCCCTGCTGCCTCAGCTGCCCAAGCCCAGGGCTCTGTCCCTCAAGCACCTGCCTTTCCTGAGCTCCGCACCGCTCATCCCTGGCTCCAGCCTCAGCGCTACGCTGCCTGCAGTCCTGCTCCTACCATCTCCAGGTGAGAGGAGCCTGGTGGGTGCTGTCCCCTCTCTGTCCCTGTCCCTCCTGCTCCCCCAGAGGGACCTCTCACCCCTTCCTTCTGCCCACGTACTTCAAAGCTTGCCCCACACACATCTGTCTCCTTCCCATCTCCCTCAACTTCCTGTTCCTGCACAAGGCCAGGCCCCGGGCGTGGCACGCAGAAAGGGGGTGTGCGGGGGCGTCAAGCTGACTCCCATAAGCACAGAACGGTTCTGGCACCTGAGTGCAGCAAAGCCACCTCTGTCCTCCTGCAGGTCTCCTTTGTCCAGCTCTGCCACCCCATTGCTCTGAGTCCTCTGGCCCATTCCTGTCCTTCTCTGTGCCCCTCAGCAGAGCCCTCTGCAACATGAGGACCACACAGTCCTGCAGGTGTTTTTATCCTGCCATACCCTTGCTCAAGAACCTTCCAAAATGTCCAGAGAGGGTCAGTGACTTCCCTAAGGATGCTCAGGAAGCTGTGATATAAGTCAGGGCTCCCACCTGGTGGTAATGTTCGATTGCTCCTATCCCGCTTCTGTGAGTTAAAACTCCTTATGTCAACCTGGCGCCTGCCCCGCAAAGCCTGTGGTTTCGGAGGAGTATGCGCAGAGAGGCCGTGGGAGCTTGTGACTGGGGAGTGGCTTTTGCACGGGTCAGAGCGTCCCGCTGGGGCTCCGCCACCTGGCAGGTCTCTCTGGATCTCGGCCACAGGCGGGAGGAATTCACTGTCTAGATAACCCAGGGCAAAAGGCACAAGCTGGGAGCAGGGGCGGCCAGAGTGCATCGCAGGGGCCTCGAGGAAAGAGGCTATGCATGCCGTCCACTCCTGAAGATGACGGTAGGGGCCGGGACCCTCCGCACCCCTTCGCCAGTTGGTCAGGTAATGAGATGAGCCCTCCTTCTTTGTGCCTCATCACTGCCCCAGATGTGCCCCCATCCTTACGTGCTCAGAGGCGGTGCTAGTAACAACTTCATTCTGCTGGGGTCAGATGGAGCCCGGCCACCTCCACGCTGCTCGCAACTCGCCAGCTGTGTGACCTCGGTGAGCCCTCGACCTAGCTGATCTTGTTCCTCCTTTAAAATGGAGCTAAGAATAGTCCGGAGGAGGAGCCTCAGGCTGAGGCAAGCCAAGCACCTGGCCCAGGGCCCGGCTGATAAGGGAGGAGTGGCGAATGCCCGCTGCGGTTCTTTCCAGGAATTTGAGAGTCTCCACTCCCTGTGTTTGGCAAAGTCTGGCATGCCTATCTCGCCTGGCACAGGACAGGGCCGGAGGCCAGCAGGTCACGCAGCCCCCAGGCCACCTGCTGCTGGCGCCGCCCCAGCCCTGCATCGGAAAGTTGGAAGAGCCGCGGCTGCTGATGGGCTGCTTTGTTCCCACCAGTGCAAGCCTGCACCTGACAAACATGAACACGGAGGCTCAGACAGCGTCCTGGACACCCGGGGCCACATGGCAAGTCCAGTGGTCTCTCCTGCCCAGGCCTGCAGAGGCTCCCTTCTTTGCTTTCTCCCGCTTCCTTCTGCTGCCTCTTGTTCTGTCTCCTCATGAATCCCATGATGCCCAGCGCAGCCCCCCCCACGGAGTCTGAGGCTCAGGAAGTGAGGAATTTCCCAGGAATCCACAGCTTGATGACTTGGCCCTTTTGTGTCTGGGACCAGCAGTGGCTGTCTCTGGGAGGGTGGGCAAGTTCTTCAGTGCTTTATGTGAACTGGGCCCGAGCCAAGCTCCTAGACGGGAAAAACAGGTCACACTGTTCAGAAACACAAAGGATGTTAGCAAGAGCAGGCACGTGACCACAGCCTCCACCATGTTGCCTCTGTGGTCCCCGCTTCCTCCACACCGGGTCCTCTTGAGCTGCTGTGTGGAGGCCATGTCCCTCCAGACCAGCAGCATCGCATTGCCGTTAGGAACACGGAATCCTGGGCCAGGTGTGGTGGCCCATGCCTGTAATCCCAGCACTCTAGAAGGCTGAGGCAAGAGGATCTATACTTGGCAAGATCCTGTCTCAAAATAAAAATAAGAGTGAGGTGAGGATACTGTGGATACGGCTTAGTGACAGAGTGCTTGCCCAGCATATGCAGGCTCCTGGCCTCAATCTCCAGTGCCAAGAAAGAGAAGGAAGAGAAGCAGGAAAGACAGACAGCTGCTCAAAGTATTCCTGAAGAGCCATGACAGGCCCGCACCCTAGGCTTTATACTACCACCCCGTTCTGCACCCCTCCATCATCCTCTCCAAGGACAGCCAAGCTCAGCCAAGCCTCTCCAACAGCACTGACTGGGGTGTCACTGTGCGAGGCAGCCAGAGGGGAGCTGGGGCACCTGTGCAGGATGCTGATGGGGGTGCCCTAGGCCTGTCCTCCACACCTGGGCCAGTGTGACAGTAGCAAGCAGGTGCTTGGAGACCTGGCTATGCCACCAGCCAGCCGCACGACTGCCCTAGCTCTGTGAGGTGCTTAGCAAATCACCCAAAGTCAGTGGTTCCACGTCAATATTGCTTTGCGTGCTCCCTGCAGGGATGGGCGGTGGGGACAGCGTCAGCTGAGGCTCCCAGGAGGCGGGACCAGAAAACAGAGTTCCTTCTCCCTCCTGTCTGGTGGGGTCCCGGGGTCCCTTGGACTTGTCTGTATGCCTGGGTGGCCTCTGCCCATGGTCTCTACCACCTGCTGGCTTTGGGGTGGCCGAGCTTCTTTCACATCAGTTCAAGGCTCCTAGAATTCCAACCCTGGAGAGAAGTCAGGGTTCACACAAGCCTCCCCAACTGCCTGGGGAGGGGATTCAATTCCACCTTTCTTGCGTAGGAAAGAATTTGCAAATTTACGTGAAACCCATCAGAGAAACTCTCCAGCAAATCACTCTTCTTCTGTAAAGTTCCCTTCAGCACCCCTCCTCCTCGCTGAATTAGTTGGCTATCAGCCTAGTGGTTTAAAATGACACACATTTATGATCTTACAGTTTTGTAGGTCCAAAGTCCAACACGGTCTCTTGCTGGTCCTGCAAGGTGCCTGCAGGGCTGTTCCTCCAGAGGCCTGGGGCAAAGGCCTTCTCCTTGACCTTCAGCTTCTAGAAGCTTCCTGGGCACCCTGACCAGGGGCCCTTCCTCCAACTTCCAAGCCAGCCACAGCTCACGAGTTCTCACACAGACTGGCTCTGACCTTTGATCATGCGAGGCCACCCAGATAATCCAGGACGTTTCCCTCCGTATGGCCACCTTTGCCATGGGGCAGGGCCGAAGGTTCTGGGGTCAGGGTGTGTAAGGCTTCGGGAGGTCATTATCTTGCTGCTGCCGCAGCACTGTGCAGAGGCCTGAGGGTGACAGTCAACGGCGTGTTCCCACACAGGCCACGGGGTTGGGGGGGGGCTCCAGGCACTGATGTGAACTCTCGAACCTGAGGAGGGACCTGGTTGATCTCTTCTTGGAGAAGATGATGCATTTGAAGGCCAGAGCGGGTGATGCTTTGCCTGGGTCACAGGTCACCCCGAGAGTGAGGAGGGGCCTCCCTCTGCCAACCCTGACCCACCCGGAGGCCACTGCAGGACACTGGGTGGACATATGTGGGATGCGTGTCTTCCTGGCAGATCTTGCAGCTCCTGAAAGGCAAGCTGGTGGTGGGTCATGACCTGAAGCACGACTTCAAGGCCCTGAAGGAGGACATGAGTGGCTACGCCATCTACGACACGTCCACCGACTGGGTGCTGTGGCGCGAGGCCAAGCTGGAGCACTGCAAGCGCGTGTCCCTGCGGGTGCTGTGCGAGCGGCTCCTGCACAAGCACATCCAGGTGAGGGCGGCTTCTTCCTCCCTCCTCGCCTCCTGCTTCTGCCTCTCCTTCCCTCCCCAAAGTAGACACCAGCCAGCCTGCCTGAGGCCGCTCCTGGTCCTACCCGGACCTGCCTCTCCCTCCGGAACTCTGAACTTGTCCCATGGCTCAGGGACAAAGCCTCTGCTCCTTTCACCCTTGAGAGGTCGTGTGCTTGTGAGGAACTGGGGTGTCTTAGTTTGGGCTTCCCAGAGACAAGGATGGGCTCTGCAAGGCGACTCCGGGACCCACTGGTACAGTGAGGGTGGTCGGGGGAGGGCAGCACCCAGTACAAGTTGGCTTTTGGTTGTTAAACCAAGCCAGCTACCCTGTGGATAATGAAGCTGTTGGTACTGCAGAACTACAGGACATGGTGGTGCACACATGTAATTCTAGCACTCTGGGAGACTGAGGCAGGAGGATGGCAAGTTCTGGCCCAGCCTGGGTAACTTAGTGACTTGGCGAGACCCTGTCTCAAAAGAAAAAATTAAAAAAGGCTGAGGATGCAGCTCAGTGCAAAGACCCTAGGTTCAGTCGCCAGTACTGTGGTGGGGGGGCCCTGGGAGGGTGATGTGCCCCACAGGAGGGACCAAGGAGCTGGGTACTCACACCCCAACTCTGCATACTGGGAGACACTTAATCCCTCTGCACACTGGGCCAGACATGGGTCAGCCTGGCCAGCAGCCCTTGAGTAAGCGCCAACTTCGTGCCGGGTGCTGGGCACACGGGTGAGCAAGACCTGGCTGGCCCAAAGAAAGTGAAGTGTCAGGGAATAGGTGGTCACACAGGCTGGCAGGAGGGCCCATTGTGAGGGTGATCACAGGGACACAGGCCCCTCTGCGCATGGCAATCCCAGCTCCACAGCCTTCGCCTTGTCTGTGACATGGGGGACCCCTCTGATCAGCCAAAGCGGAAGAGCTCGCATGGGCCCGTGCTAGTGCAGACAGAGGTGGTAAATGGCAGTCACCTGACCCTCCAACAGATCGAATGTCCTCTGACCGCCACCCATAAAGTGCAGACTCCCCTTCGCGGCATTCAAGGCCTTTGCTGAGGAGTCACAGATCACCTCCCCCACCACTGTGTACCCAGAGCTCTGATTTTAGTGGCACCCCCTCTTCATGCTTCCCCAGGGCTTGCACCCCTTGGGGTACCAGCTGCTTGGGGTGCTTCCTTCCATCCTCCACAGCAGGTGCCATCACGCTCCGGTCTCCGCACCCTTTCTGAGCAGCCGTTCCCATGCCCCTGACTGGAGGCCCTGCTCCATCCTGGTGGCCCGAGTTCCACCTGAGAGCAGCTGCCGTGTGCCTGGCTGCAGCCCTGTCCCCCACCAGGGGCCTGTGCTGGACCCCAGCCTCTTTCTCAGGATGCTGGATTTTGTGCCTGCACACACCTGGGCCTGGTGCCCTTGACCCCGGACACCACCTGGCCACATCCTTCCAAACCCATGGAGTCAGAGGCCTGGGGAGACGCCAGCCCCCTGACCTACCTTGTGAACTGGGAAACGGCTTGAGCAGACCCTGGGCCTCTGGATTCAGCCAGCTCCCAGCCCCGCCCCGTACCTACCTGTCTGTCTGTCTGTCGGTCTGCAGAACAACCTGTTTGGACACAGCTCTGTGGAAGATGCAAAGGCGACCATGGAGCTCTACCTGCTCTCACAGTGTATCCGAACCCGCCAGGGACTGCCTCGCCCGGCAGGGTCAGACTGAACTGGTCCAGCCCTGCCCTAGGGGCCACAGGCTCCCTCTGCAAAGGCAGCGTCTCTCTCAAGAGCTTTTGGAAGACGCATCTTTCACAGTAAAATGCTTCTCTATTTTGTCTACTCCTCCAGTGGACCCTCTCTTTGTCTTCCTTTCTCCCCTCCGAGCCGGGTTCACCGAGCACAGGACCTAGGCTACGTGCCCGTGGGTTGGGAGCAGGTGGAGGCCCACACCATCCTGATACCCTCCCTTCCAGGGAGCCCAGGTGTTCCAGAAGCTACCTGGCAATCCAGGTGACAAGTGGCTCCCTGGCTCCCCCTGTCCCGCTTTTCCTGTGGCATTTATGTCCGGAGGAGAGGCCTTATTTCCTGAAGTGGCATTCTGCTCTGGGGTCCATCTATCTCATCACGAGGGCAGTGCCTTCAAAGCAAAGGAACCACACTCAAACTGCAATGGGTGCTGCCCTTCTCCTTGGAAAATGAGGAAGCAAAGGTAGTGAACTCTGGAGTCAGGGAAGACTGCATCAGAATCCTGCTTTACTATTTGGTAGCTGTGTGATCTAGCCCAAGTTGCTTAACCTCTCTGTGTCTTAACCTTAACCCAAACCTCAGTTCCTCTACCTGTAAAACAGGAAATAGCAGTTCACTGGGTACTTAAGAGGTATTGTGGGCAAAATCTCCAACACCAGTCCTGTCTTAGTTTTTTCGGCTCTTTAGTGATCCTGTACCCAGGCCATTTGAACCTGAGGTGCTTGCTAAGCCATCCTGGGACCTGATCACAGTAACCACGAGTAAGCAAGGTCAGTGTTCCCTGAGGATGCTGGCCCCACCCCCTGGTCACCCCGAGAGTGTACGTTTCCGACGTACTCCCCACTGATGGTAATCTGGCTTTGAGAAGCTCAATCTACAAAATGCACCCACGGCTGGCAGCAACCTGGTCACCTGTCCAGCCTCTGCCCTTAGCTGCCTGCTCCTGCAGAGCGGGGCTCGCCACCCGGGAAGAAGGCCCTAGCGCACCCCCTGCACGGAGGACAGGCTTGTCCTGAGGTTTCCAGATGCTTTGCAACGGCAGGGTCTCCCCTGGGGTCAGGCGACCTGGAGGCTCCCTCCCACCACTAGGGGGCCGCAGCTTGCTCTCAGGGCGCCGTCCTGCCCTGTTCCCCCAGCCCCGGTGCAGGCCCAACGCTCCACTATTTTGTGTTTTTTTGTTGTTTTTTAATGAACCTTCAAACCTGCTGGGTGTGTTGGCTTGTCTGGCTGTGACTGGCCACCAGGTGGCGGCCTCGCTCCATCCGCCCGCCAGGAGGCCTCGCAAGTCAAAGGGAGGAGGTGTGAGCTGCCCTGTCTTTAAAAAGGTCCCTGAGGGAGTTGGAAGTGGTGTTGCAGGCATGTTATTTCAACACTGTGGGAGGCTGGGGCTGGAAGATCGAAAGTTCAAGCCTCGCCCGGGCAACTTCATGATTTAGCAAGACCCTGTCTCAAAATAAAAATATAAAAGAGGCTGGGGATGTAGCTCATAGCTCAGGCCAGGGTTCAATCACCAGCATAAGGAGAAGAGGACTGAGGGACCTGCTAGTCCTCCCTCAGCCACAGACATGAGGCTCAGAGAGGGGCTGGGCCATGCCTCAGGTCCTGCAGTGATGTGGGAGGCCCCTGGCAGTGATTCTATAGCCTCAGTTTCCTGGGTCCCCAAAGGTCCCGCGTTCCCAAAAGAAGCTGCCAGTTCCTTCCACTTCCTGCTGCCTGCATGCCGCAGGGGAAGGGGGGAGAAAATCTGGGGACCCCTCTACCTCCCAGGCTGTCACCCTAGTACAGCCAGGACCTTGGCGGGAACAGTGGCAGCTACTTAGGGCCCATTCCTGGGCCGGTCCTGAGCAGCCAGTTTTGCTTCATGAGCTGCAGGAAGAGCACAAGCATTGCCGGCCTGCTGGGCTGCGGGCTGGCCTCAGTGACGTCACAAGCCTCACACTGGACCGAGAAGGGAGTGAGACCTTGAGCTGGGTGCCCAGCCTCCAGCGGCAGGCAGTGGGGACCTTTAAGCAGCGTTCATCCCTGTGGATCCTGAGGGTGAAGAACAGCAGCCTCAGGGCGTGGGCCGAGTGCCGGGCCCCCACACCTTGGATGCAAGTGGAGAGTTTGTTCCCTTGCGGTGCTGGGATGAGGCCAGCTCCACCAGAGCCAGGGTAAGCCATGACCCATCCTACTCATGAGGAAGCCCAGCACCGAAGCAAGCTCTGTCACCCCGGAGACCAGCCCACTGTGGCCTGGAGCGTCACCCCACAAGCAGGTCAAGCAAGCCACTAGGAGCCGCGGTCACCAAGTGGCCCGACTCCTCCCTAGGTGATTCCTGCCTCCAGAGCTTCATTGTCCCAACAGGAGACAGTAGCCTTAGTCGCGACTCCCAGAGTTGTCATGGGAACGAACGAGACCACGAAGTAGAATCGCTTTGGAAGATGCCCCAGCCGGTGCTCTAGGTGGAACCTTGCTCCCTCCTGCCCGCCCCCCCAAGGTCCACCAAAGCACGAAGTGCCACCCTGCCTCAACCGCTCCCCCAACCCCTCAGGTTTGTTCCCACTCCCCTTCTGCAGCCCACCCCTGTCCCTGGGTGGCTGGCATCCTGCTTGGCGTCCAGCCCCTCTGTCCCTTCCCTCATGCCCCACAATGTCCCCTGCTCTGGGCCCTGCCCCAGGGCTCTAGACTCTTGGGGCCATCTCTGCTGGAAAGATGACTGCTGTCCTTGGTGGTGAGAGCTGTCCCTGGAGGCCACAACACACCAGCATGGTGGCAGAAGGGGCAGGGACAGGGTTCTGGGGCCACAGTCAGGGCCAGACAACTGAGGCATCTGGTCCCAGCTGAGCCCAGGGGAAGGGCGGGTCCTCCCTCCTGCTAGCCGGGGAGTGTTATAGGGTGGTTTCTTCGGAGATGGCTCACCAACCTAAAGTATTCCAGGTCCTTCTTGCCTCAAAGAATTGGAGGAGACAAGCCAATAATGGTGCCAAACGCTTGTTTGAAGAGTACGAGGTAACCAGTATGGGAGAAAGCAGCTCTGCAGAGCAAACTTGGGTCGAACAAAGAGAAAAAGAGGGTAATGCAAACACGAAAGTGCACACCACTGCGCAGGTTGCTGTGCGCGCTCACGCACGCTATTAGCTTTCCGTGATGGCTGGTCCTTTTTATGCCATCCATATCCGGTGGGAGTTTGAGAAAAGTTCTACATCCGGGTCTTCCCGTTGCCCTGGGATGTTGTGATTGACAGGCCCCACCCATTTCCCCAGCCGGTTTTGCCACGCCCTATCTCCTAGATCAGGAGGGCCCGGCATAACCAAGAGGGAGATGAGGGTGCGATCAGCGCTTTTGCTTTGAGGGCACAGGAGTAATCAGGCCAGCCGTGCCATGGAGACCCAGGTACCAGCCGGATGGAGTAAGGATGGGCAATTGTCAGTCACGCAGTCTCAGTGAACCGTGGCCAAGCAGAAAGGCGGGCAGTGGGCACATCTAGGCTGGATCTGGCTTGCAGGCTACCGCCTTCGCCTGGGGCCATCCACCTTCCTCCCCCTTCCAGCTGTGTCCAGGAATGGAAAATGACCTCTTAAAGTGTGCGAGGAGGGCAGGACCCTGATTTATCTCCAGGCGCGTGGACCTCTCTCCCAGGACAAATTCTCCCCACTTTGACCTGGTGACCTGTCGCACACCTTTCAGCTGGCTTCTGTCCACCCCTCTGGGTTCAAGGTTCCGCAGTTCTTCAGTGCTTTCTCTCCAGTGGGAGCCTCCAGCCTCCCTTCTGCCCGGCTCCCTGTCCTTCCCCGTCCCACCTCTGCCCACGCCACTCAGTGAGGCCTGGACAGATGGGGATAAGACTGTCGGGAGAGGGCAGACCCGGCTGACAGAGGGAAAGAACTGTGTCCTCCAAGAAGAGCACAGCTTGGGGAAAGACCTAAGACACTGAAGAATTCACTCAGGCAACAGGAGCAACAGTTACCACCCCTGCCACCTAACCATGAGGCATCAAGGGGAATTTGGCAGGGATGACCCTGGCCAGCACCTGAGTCACTTCTGACTCAGATTGGGACTGCAGAGGTGGAGTAAGGGGACTGGAAAGTCTGCATCTGCCCCTCCTCAAGCCCCTTGTCCTTCCCTCCTTCCTCCAGCTCCCCCGCCCAATCCCGGGGTTGCTCCGTCTACCTGGAGCTGCTCAACGTCTACACATCCAGCCCCAGCCCCATCTGAAGGCCCTGCTGTCTCCCCAGGTGTCGCCAGCCCAGCCGGCTCCCCGATCCCCAAGGAGCGGTGTGTGCTGGCCCCAAGAGGTCTACTGGCTCCATGAACAGCCCCCTGTGTAGAAAGAACATACGCTTTTCCTGCAGCAGGCTAGGGCTTCAGGAGGAGGAGGCTGGAGCTGGCCTGGCCCTGGCACCCGAGCTTCAAGCCCAGTGTGTTTTGTGCTCCAGACGGAAGGGAGGAGAGAGGAACTCAGGTCAGGACCCTGGGTTTTAAGACCCTGAGCCTCCCATGGTGCAGGGATTAGATGTCACTGCCCGTGGAGTAGACTAATATTTTTAAAATGTGTGGGGTGTGTGTGGGGGAGTCCTGAGGGGTGTACATTAAGTTGCTCTCTGAGGTCCCAGTGGCACTGAGCTGGCAGTGGTAACTGGTCTATGACTCCCTTGTCAGTGGCTTCCTTTACGTCCTCCCTTCCATCCCCACCAGGCCCCCTAAGTCCATGGGGTGGAAACAGACAATGCAAAGGCCACAGTGTTGCAAGGTGGGGACTTGAACAGGTGACCAGCACTGAGGGCTCTGGCTTCGTGAGTGATCATGTGTTAGAAGGACCACATGGCACCCACACAGCAAGACACCCGCCAGGGCCCTCCAGCCCCTAAAGCTATGAAGAATTCTTTCCTTCTCTCCCTTCCTTCCCTTCCTCCCTCCCTCCTTCTTCCCTTCTCTTCCATTCATCTTTCTTCTCTTTCTTTCCTTCTTCCCTCCTTTCCTCTTTCTTTTCTTTCTGTGGTACTGGTGATTGGACCCAGGGCCTTTGCACTGAACTACAACCCCAGCCCTTTTCTTAATTTATTTTCTCTTGAAATGAGTTATTGCTAAGTTGTCCAGGCTGAGTTCCAACTTTCAATCC